ATTGTAAACCCAAAAATATAATAATGAAATTTGTATATTTGTAATCGGTCGGATGAATGTGTGTTTGTGTGTGTTGAAAAAGATTTCAAGTTCAAATTTTCAGATTTTTTTTTTTTTTTTGTTCGTTTCTTCACCTAATTCGCGTATGTATGGCTTATGGATCAGATTAGATTTTTTTTGTTTTTAGATTAATTCTGATGAAATTTTTTTTTTTTTTGGAACAACAACCTGTTGAAAAGGATTTACAAAATTTGTTTTTTTTTTGAAAATTTCACAAAATCATAACACTTCCTTGATTTTTGAAAATTTTTCTTATGAAAGATTTTCCCTGGAATTTTCATCCATCGATTTTATTATTAAGAGGGAAGAAATTTTTTTTTTTTTTTTTTTTCTTAATTTCAAACGTGTGCGTGTGTGTTTGTTTAGTTTTTTTAAATGAAAATTTTTTTTTTGCTAGTTATTATTATTGTGAAATCATTAGTGGTCCATCATCACATCAAATGATGTTCATGATGATCATTTTTCTTGTTTAATGTCCAAAAATAATATAATATGGATGGATGCTTTATTCGTGTATTAATGATTTTGAGTAGTTCTTCCATATCATCGTTGCTTATTTTATTGCGTAAAACACGCATTCATTCATTCATCATGATTATTGTCATCAACAATTGATGGTAATGATGAATGAATTTTTTTTTCATGTTTTTCTAAAATTTTTTTAGAAATCTTTTCCGACACAGCAACAGCAGCAACAACAATTTTCTTTCCATTCCATATTGATCAACAAAATGAAAAAAAAATTGATCAATGAAAAGATCTGCCAATAAAGAATGGATCATAAATCTATTAAAATTCATCATGATGATGATGATAATTAGAATAAATCCCATTTCTTTGCATTTTTTTTTCTTATTTTGTAAACAAAAATTAAAAATTCAGCCTGTCCTGTTCCTTGTTCCTATTACAATTATCATCTCATCATCATCATCAATTATATCTGTGCGGATCATATGATGATCATCGATGATTTTATTTTTGGATGATTTTTTTTTCTTTATTTTTAACTTTCAGTTTCCATTTTTTCATTTTTCTCTCTCTCTCTTTCCAATCATCTATTCAACATTTCATTTACGAAATTTATTTTTTTACTGTTGATGATGATGATGAAAAAAAGAGAAAAAAATCCGTACTTGTTAGTAGAACAATAACAACAACAACAACAACAAAAAGAAACTGAAGAGATAAAATAAATTTCCAAGGTCAAACAGGTGTGTTTATGAGTGATAGTGTGTGTGTGTGTGTTTTTTTTTTGTTCTTCATTCATGTATTCAGTGTATTTTTTTTCCCAAAATGAATGATGATTTTCTGTATGAAAAAAAAAAATTCATTCCGGTAGTTTTTATTTGGTAATTCATTTTTTTTTTAATTTTAATTCCAAAAAAAAGAAAAGTTGAATCACAATCGATTCCTTATTATTATCATACATAAGAATCCAATTTGAATTTTTTTCTTTCCATTTTCATATATCCAAATCATATGTCTATATTTATCATGAATTTTTCATTACCAAATATTTTTTTTCATGATCTAATAGCGAAAATCTACACATTTCGTTTTTTTTTCGTTTTTTTTTTTTTTGGTTAAAATTGTAATACTCAACGATGGTTTGTGTCTCAGTCTCATTTCTATGTTTTTTTTTCTACCATTGGTAATTGAAAAAAAATGGGCGATATGATGATGATGATGATGAAAAAAAACATGTGAGAGAAGAGAGGATCCTAGCGATAGTGAAATTTTTTTGCTATACACGCACATTGAAATTTTTTTTTTGTATTATAAAAAGAGAAATGAGGTCACTGAGTCGAGGTCTCCATTCATTCACATTTATCCATTCATCCACACACACATGGAGCCCAGTCATTTTATATTATCCCATATAGCCAGACGCCTGCAATTTAGATCTCATTGAATTTTTTTTTTTTTACAAGCCATTATCATTGATATTGCCGCTAGCTTTATACATATATAACACTAATCTAATGTTCCACTATCTATTTGTCTACATCTATCTATCCATTTTTTTTTAGACCCAAGGTCAATCATTTATGTGTCTCTCTGTGTGTGTTTGTGTGTTCCGTTCATTTAATGTTCCGATGTCTTTTTTTTTACTTTGGTCCCTTTTTTTGTGTCATACTGTAATAGAATAAATGGCGCCATAAAATGATGATGCGCATTTTTTTTTTACCAAATGATTCCAAAAGAAAAAAGTACACGTGTGTTTTATGTTGATATAATAAACGACTTTGTCTTGTCTGGCCATGTTTCAAGCATTTATTTGGAATTTTTTTTCTTGTTTTTTTTTACATTTCTAGGTCACACAAATAACAACCAACACTCCCTCCCCGTCCAAAAAAAATATATATATTTCCAGAATAAGAATAAAAAAAATTGGAACACTAATGAATGATGATTGTTTTTTTTTTTTTTTTGGTTGCTGTTGCAAACACGCAAATTTGGAGCACTTGTAAAACCACACACAATACCTCAAACAAAATAAAGAATAATGATGATGGCTGTGATCATCATCATAATCTGATTCTTTCATATACACATACATTCAATATATAGAATTCAGAACGATTTAGAATATAAAATACTTTTGTCATAGTTTGTTGTCGTAGTTGATGATGATGATGATGATGAGCAATTTACTATTTTTATTGGTAAAAAGATAAAATGGGTCAACAATATTGCAACCAACATACATACATACCGATTGATGATAATGATGATGATGATGATCAAATTGTATTTCTATTTAGCCGTGTGTGTAAAGTAACTAACAAAATTTTTTTTTTTTTTTTGCTATCCATAAAGCCATATCCAGATTATTGAATTTGAATTGAACATCAACAGTATTCTTTTAGCATTTATTTTTCATCATTTATCCATCCATATATACGCGTATAAGTGTTTATTTTTTGGTGTCCTACTGACACATTGACTGAGTGAAAGTGTAAAAAAATTATCGTGTAAAAAATTTTTCAATTTTTTTTTCTTTGAAATTTCTCCAAATGGACTCATAAATTACTTTCGTTTTTTTTTTTGATTGAAAAATTTGCATTTTTTGTAAATTCGTTTTTTTTTGGTATTGAAAAAATATTAGGTCCCTTATCTCTTTTGTTTTTCATTTCATTTTTTCATGTCTTGAGAATTTCCATTATGTGTGTGTGTGTATTGGTGTGTGTGTTGGTGTTTGCTAAACGATCCAAAATGTGTTTCATCCATTCATCCAATCGTGAATGGTGGTCGTGAATGTGATTGCAAAACTATATTGGATGAGAAAAAAAACAAAAAAAAAATGTAGCAATATATATGTAGCTCACTGTGGTTGGAATGTAAATCAACTCGTGCGCATTTTTTTTCACTTATAAACTTCAAAAAGAAAAACAAAACAAAAAAAAAACAATCGAGGATACTTGTCTAAAAAAAAAAAATTGTATATTTATATTAACGCGCGCAATATATGAGAAAAAAAACGATTTGGTCTCAGTCTCAATATATATATATATGTGTGTGTATGTATGCGTCTGCTATATGTGTGTATCTATGAATGGCTCCCTTTGAACAAAAAAATGAAAAAAAATTGGTGGCAAAATATTATACATGGAGCAACGAGAAAACATACATTCACATTCACATTCACATTTTATTTTATACACACTTAACAGACTACAAAAATAAAATATAAAAAAAAAATCTCGCGCGCGCGACTTAAGCCAACACTTTATATATTTTTTTTATTTTATTATTATTATTACAAACAATGATTGTCATCATCATCATCATCATTTTGTTGTTGTCGTCGTTGCCGTTGCCATCACGAGTCCTCGATTCAAATTCAATATATATATAACAACAAATCTATGTCTATGTCAGTAGACATAGAGTGAGATAGAGAGAGAGAGAGAGAGATACACATTTTTTACACACACACACACATATCATTTATACCACCAATATCATCATTAAAATAATAATAATCATCATCATCATTATTGAAAATTACTATTTCCAGCATCCGTACGCATACACACACATACACACGCAGCATCTTCATATTTTTTTTCTCCTTTTTTTTTCTTATTTTTCCCAATATATCTGTGTATGTACACATGTATGTGTTGTTTGTTTGTTCCAAAAGACAAGACAACAACAACAACAACAACAACAAGAAAAAATTCACAAAACTCGCGCGTTTGTTTCAACATACACACACACACACACAAGACACAAGACAACAAAAAAAATGAATCAAATCGATTGATACGTGTATTTGAATAAGACAAACAACAAAACTGCCATTTGACACTGCCATCATCATCAATCACGTTATCATTCATCGATCGATATTATCGATCCATATAATTATAGATATATTGTTACATTTTAATTATTATGGTGATTATATAATTCTAGTCAAAAATATTCTTATATCGAAAATTCTCTATTCTAAATTCTTGTGTGTGGGTGTGAGTGTGTGTGTGGTATTTGTGTATCAAAATTCAACAATATTCATGATGGATATGATAAAGAATGAAAAATTATTAATGATACGTTGTTGGACTCGTTTTTGGCTTTATTATCGTTGTGTTACTGATTAATCAATTTAATATTCTGAACATTATTTGTTTTTAATTTTGGTGATTAGAATCATTGCAAAAAAAAAAATCCTCATCATAGAATATTATTTCATTTCATATCTCATATTTTTTTTTTTTTTTTTTTCTTTGATTTTATAAAGAAAAATCAACATTGGCCAATAATTCTAGTGACAATAATCAAACGATATCGATAACGAATTTGAATTCATCGGCTTCTTCATCATCTTTATTATTATCATCTTCATCTTCATCATCATCATCATCATCATCACCACCACCACCACCACAACAACAACCACAAGCACCAGCATCATCAATCACATCTTTTTCTTTGTCTTCATCATCATCATCATCGTCAACAAATATAGCTGATGATAATATTAGTAAAATGATAATAATCAAAATAGGTCTCCAACATTGTCAATTTTAACAACATCAACAACAACAGTATCGTCAATTCTATCAGTGTCAACAACGACCTCAAATTCATCATTATCAACGACATTGACATCTACACAATCGACATCATCTGTATCATTGAATTCATCAATAACACCAATAACGACGACTGCGACAACATCTTCGATTATAGTTAATAATAATAATACGGACCAAATCATTAATTTTACACAGCCAACAATAATATCGGCTACAAACGTTACGGTATTATCAACTACTGCTACTGCTGCAACAACAGCAACAACAACAACAACATCGACAACGAATAATAATAATAAATCAAAAAATTCAATGCTCCCTCCACAATCAACACCTAATATTTTATTAAATATTAAATCTGAACCGGAATCACCGCCGGATAATCTGAAAACTGCGAAAAATAACACTGCCAATCGTTTGAATCAATCACATCATAATCAACAACAGACACAACTACAGCAACAACAACAACAACATATTCAACATCAAACACAGCGACAATTAAGTTCCAATTCCGAAACATCGACTGAAAATAATACTAATCCCAGTCCACCAGCACCTTCATCATCATCATCATCATCTACGGCATCTCAATCACCAGCTAATAATCTCAATAATTCAAATAACACTGCAAATACAGTATCTGGCACCATGTTAGCCTCAAGCGGTCCCTTAACCGCTAATACTCCAAATAATAATCATATGATGGATTATCATACCCAACAACAACAACAACAACCCCCCCACCACCTTCATCATCATTGACCAGTGGTCATCATCATCATCATCATCAACAACAACAACAACAACATCATCAACCACAAATGGGTGGTGGCCAACATCCAAATCTAACATTAACAACACCACAACAGCAACAAACAATGTTACCGTTAATGGGTAATAATAATCAACAGCCAACAATAAGTGTTGCAGCAGTTGTTACTGCCGCTAGTTCATCACCAAATTCTGATCCAAAAGATTGTATTGAAGAATTATGTCCAGTATGTGGTGATCGTGTTTCCGGCTATCATTATGGCCTATTAACATGTGAATCATGTAAAGGTTTCTTCAAACGTACTGTACAGAATAAAAAAGTTTATACTTGTGTTGCTGATCGTAATTGTCTTATTGATAAATCACAACGTAAACGATGTCCGTATTGTCGTTTTCAAAAATGTCTTGACGTTGGCATGAAGCTTGAAGGTATTATAAATATTATAACTTTCTATTTTTAAAAATAGCCATTTATTATTTTGACCTTGAATTAATTGATTACTTTATTAACATCATGAAAATAATTATAGCTGTTCGTGCTGATCGTATGCGTGGGGGACGGAATAAATTCGGACCAATGTACAAAAGAGATCGAGCTAGACGGCTACAAATATTACGACAAAAACAATTGTCAAAAGCACATCATGTTGTTGGTGGTGGTAATAGTCTAGGACCTCCTACTACAATATTACCTGGATCTGCTGCTGCTGCAGCAGCCGCTGCAAATGAAGCCCTCAATTTTTTAAATGCCGCACCTGGTTCACACGGTGGCTCCATATTCGATGGAGTAAAACCAGAATTAATACAAATTCCGCAATTATCTTCATCAACATCATCACCGGATTCATCACCATCGCCAGGATCAACAGCCGGTGTAGCTGCGGCTGCTGCAGCTGCAGCTGCTGCTGGACAATTACCAAATGCTGTTGCAGCGGCCGCTGCTGCTGCTGGTCATCCACATTTCATGTCACCTTTGGTTCCATCCACCCTACAGCAGCAATCATCAAATCTGGCCGGTGCCAATCTATCACAATCAATGATGAGTGCTGGTGATCAACATGTAATGAAATGGGGACCAAATGGCCCTGGTCCAAGCAATATGAGCGCTAATAATACAGGTCCAAGTGGAAAATCTGGCCTACAACAACAACATTACGATACCAAATTGGTGATGCCACCATTGATTAGAGAATTACAATTATCAATGTTGGATGATAAAGAATGGCAATCACAATTATTTAGCCTATTACAAAATCAAACTTATAATCAATGTGAAGTAGATCTATTTGAATTGATGTGCAAAGTTATTGATCAATCATTGTTTGCTCAAGTTGATTGGGCTCGTAATTCCATATTTTTCAAAGATTTAAAGGTTAGCTTTGATAATGTTTGTTTTGTTTCTAATATTTATTGATGTATGGATTTTATTATTTAATTCAGGTTGATGATCAAATGAAATTATTACAACATGCCTGGAGTGATATGTTAGTTTTGGATCATATACATCAACGGATACATGCCGGTCTGCCAGATGAAACTACACTACCGAATGGACAAAAATTCGATTTATTATCATTGGCATTATTAGGCGTACCACAAGTGGCCGATCAATTACATCGAGTTACGGCACGATTACAAGAACTTAAAGTCGATACTAATGATTATATTTGTCTTAAATTCTTATTGCTACTCAATCCAGGTGAGTTTAATATAATTTTTTTATTTATTTTTCAATCTAATTGTTTTATTTCTTTTCATTTTTTTTTTTTGACAACAATATCAATTTAATAAACACAATAAAAGCCGAAGTTCGTGGTTTAACAAATTTCAAATTAGTTCATGATGCACATGAACAAACTAAACAAGCATTATTGGATTATTGTATCAATTTTTATCCACAAATTACGGTAAACAATTTTTTTCTAAATCCTAAATATATAATCTGTTTACGAATACAATTGATTTACATCATTTTGTTTTTCTTTGTTCATCACCAAAATAGGATAAATTCAATCTTCTATTAGCATTGATGCCCGAAATACATTCACTTACATTAAGGGGTGAAGATTTTCTTTATTATAAACATATGAATGGTTCAGCACCAACGCAAACATTATTGATGGAAATGTTACATGCAAAAAAGAAATAGATGATGAAACTGAAATTTAAAAAAAAACAAGGGATACATATTTTTATAGACAAAAAAAATATAATTTTGTTATTAATTGATTATCATGAATCTATTGATATTGAATTCTATGTGTATAATTAAATCCAGATTAGATTGACAGTTATGTGCTCATCATCATCATCATCATCATCAAAAATGTTCATTAACACATGTTCATCAACATTATGACATTGCCTACCATTGAATTTTTTTTAAAATTTTAATTTAATAATAAGGTGTGTGTGTGTGTTTTTTTTTGTTTTCTATAAGAATTTATGTGTGAAAATTGAAAAATTTTATGTAAAAAAAAAATATTTCTCTCTTTTCGAGTGTTTACTAAATTCTGTCACAGGTGTTCATGACATTTATTATACACACACGCCCACATGAAGAATATTTTTTTTTCCTCTTCTTCTTCTTCTTCTTTTTGTTATTATAAATGTTGTTGTTGTTGTTGTTGTTGTGTTTACTTGCACATAACGGTTTTTTTTCTTGTTCAAGATTCTTTCTCTTTATAATTAATATTTTTGTTTCATACAGACGAAAAGAATAATTTTTCACTTGATTTCGAATAAGAAAACGCCTTGAAAATTAACCATGATGACAGAAATAACAATAATGAATGAATAATAAACACTGGTATATATATATATTCCCTTCCTTTTCTATCCACCGTTTTTATTTGGCCCAAAAATTTTTACTACGTATTCATCCATCAATGTATTGAAAATAACTTTTCAATCGGAAAAAAACAAAACAAATCAACAAACATCATCAACATTGCACAAACACAATACCTATCTGTTTCTGTTGTAAAAAAAATCATCATCATCATCATCATCATATATTTTATAATTATCCATCGATATACACTATATTTTTAAACAGATGAATTATGAAACAAACGAGAGAGAGAGAGAGAGAAAAAAAAATTTCAATCAATTCATTAACTTTTCACATATACTGAAAAATATCAACATCATCATCAATACACTGATTTCGTAACACTGTCTTGTTTTGTTTTGTTTGTTTAGCTTGGTTGTGTTTTCTTTCCATTTATTATTATATATGTAAATTGTAACAAAAAAAACGTAAATTATTTTTATTTTGGGGGAGAGGGCCTAAAAAAAGGGTTAATAAAATCCATACACACACACACACACACACCACTTCCTCTAAATAGTCTATCATTCATTCATCATCTTATTTGCCTCTTCTCATTCATTCCAAAGTGAAAGCACATTTTCTTTATTGATCCATCCAATTTTAAAATTTTACAAACAAACAATATATGAATATTGTGGTTAGGAAAAAAAAATTAAAATGATGAATCTTCATGTGACAAACAAACAAACAAACAAAAAAAAAATCTATTTTTTTATAATTTTCAACAAAACACAAATAAATGATTTTGGAAATCTGTAAAATGTTATTATTATGATTGTTACTAATTATAAAACATACTCTTTAATGTTAACAAACACACACACACACACACACTCATTCTTAATGATGTATGATTGATATCATTAGATTATCATCATCATTATCATCATCGACACATCTTATCAATATTATCATCATCATCATCATCATTAATCATTAATCATTAATAAATCATACCAATTGTAAATTTGGCTAATTTTGGCTCTATCCTTTTTTTTTATTTTGTTGTTTTCATTTTCACAGTTTATTACTGCACACACACACACACACACACCCACTCACTAACAATCACTATAGCAATTTGACATAATTTAATCTATATACATGAAATCAAATGGAATTTTTTCTGGTGTGTGGTTATTATTATTATTATTTGAATTGTATACACAAATCGAAAACAAAAAACAGAAACAAAAACAAAAATATTCATTCTATATGTAATAATGCCAAATCCAAATAAATAGACTATTTTGGTCTATTTGGATTTGGCATTTTTTTTTTTTTAATTACAATTATTATAATCACCTGTAAAATGAATTCTGTTAAACACGCTCATCATCATCATCATCATCATATTCACAGACACACGTACGAAATCATCATCAAATGAATGAATATTTTTTTTTTTTTTGTTCTCTTTATTGATTTATTATCGATTCTGATGATTATTATTATATTTAAAAAATCTATTTTTGAAATAAATGATTTTAATGGATAAATTGATTGAAACCATTCATACATAAACACACACACACACACACACACACACGAATCAACTACACAGAAACGGCATTATTGTTAATTATTTGATTGATTGATTGTTTTTATTTTATTAATTTGATTCGATTTTGGATTATTATAAACATATAATTATAATATAATATATATAAAATTAATATTAATGGCGAGAATTAATGGTTTTGTTTTTGTGTATGGTTGAAAAATTGAGTAAAAATTATATCAAATTCAAAATGCATTGAATATGGAAATATGACGTGTAGATGGCAGCACTTGAATGAATTGAAGAAAGAATTCGAAAAGTTTTTTTTTCTTCTGATTGTGATTCATCGAGAAAACAATGTCGACAGGATCAAAATCAGATCAATTGTTTTATTTTTAGTGGAATAAATGAAAAAATTTTATTTAATCTATTTTTTAAGGTAATATTTTCATTTCATTCATTTTAATTGTCTACTAATCGAAATCTAGAAGCTTCAAGTGTATTGACAAACATTTTTGAATCTTTTTCAGTCATTGGTGCCAATTGTGATGATAACTGTTGACGTTGACTATTGAAAGAAATAAATATCGGTAAGAATAACATGTTGATAATAATAAACAATTATATTAATCATAAAATTTGTATTATTATATTCACATACCTTTCAGAATAACCATTCATATAATTGACTTTTATATTATCAACAATGATAAAGGCAGATTCTTCAGATTCTGTTTCTGATTCATCATCATCATCATATGATATTTTCATATTGATCGACTGGATCATTCCAATTGTTTTTTCCACAAGAAATAAATGTGTATAGATTTTATTCGGTTCAAATATTGCTTCTATTGTGGCTTTTGGTGAATAGTCTGATCTTAAACTTCCAGTTATGTTCATTGTCAACGTTGCATTTACCGATTCAAATCCATTGGCAGTTTTAATCATAATTTGATAATGAAAATATGAATATGGCTCAATATCACGTGTTTCAACAAAATATTTTATTGGTTCAGTCCAAGTTTCGGATAATTTTTGTTCTTGCCAATAATCAAACCAGCCACCCCATCGTTTACAATCATCCAATTCATTACATTCACCACATTTACCGGCAAGGAAATCATTATGATTATTACAACGATATGCTATACTCTGAAAATCATCATATTTTGATTCAAAATTGCTAAACAATAGATAAGCTCGCCGATGTGAACATGCAAATGTATCGGTCAATCCAATTCTTATACCATGAAGCAATATATTGAGTACACCTCGTACAGGTTCACACCCATTTTGATTCTCGCCACCATTCGGGTAAAAAGAATAATGACCTGATGGTTTTAGAATACCAAATCCGTTGGCAATATTTTTCCCACCATTGGTATGAATCGATATAACTAATTGAGCATCATTCGGATTCAGACAACTTTTTTCAGATACATTGCTAAATGCTGGTCCAGCCGGATCTAAACCAATTATAAGACGTAATTTTTCATGTGTTTGTAGATTTTTTCCAACAAAACCAGAAATTTGTCCACCCAAACTATGTCCAATGACTGTGAAATGATCATTGGTCGTTTCATAAACTTTATTCAATTTTTTGATCATTGATGCAACAACGAAACCAACTAAACGAGTGTTTGCAACAGCTTTTAAATAATTTTGAACAATTGAACCACCTCGCCAATCAACAGTGATAACATTAAATCGGCAAGGTTCCATAGTTAGTATGCCATCCTTTAGATTGCCCATCCAATTAAATTGATCATAAAAATCAGTGAATCCATGTATGATGAATATCGTTCGTAGGTTTCGATCATAATTTAAATTTTTCATTTCATCTTCATTCACATTATACGATAATATTGATGGATTGTATCGATTTTTACAAGAAAACACATAGAATGTAATGTTTTGTTTTTCCGGTGGTTCCGGATAAAAACTCATCAGCTTTGTTATTGGCCATTCAGAACCTATTTCAGATGCATTGTAACATCCAAAATTTTCATAACATATCTCGCCTATTTTTTTTAGAATTTTTTTCAAATTAAAATTCTGAAATCACCATAATATTGTTCTTTTTAAAAATATATACCTTGATTAATTGGTAAATTTTTCAATAAATGGTTATTTTTCAATAAATCACCAAAACCAGAACCATTTGCCATCAAAATGGGTAATACAAAACAAAACGACAAAATAGTGGTTATTTTCATTGTTGATTTTCGGTCTAAATATTTTTACACACTGGATATGAAATGAACAGGTAAATTGTTTTTGTATCACAAATTGACTAAGAAAAAAATGATAATTTCATATTGCTTTTTATGTAGAATGATAATAATAATAATAATAGTTTATAATCTACCTATCTAAATTTAACCTTTTTTATAAGTCACACAAATTCATGTTATGTTATGTATATTGCATATACAATATATTCATCATGGTTGGTTGACAATCAATGACAAATAACAGACAATCATTGAAACTGAATGCCATAATCTTTCAACATATGATATTTATAAAAAAAAAAAATTATTTTTTTGATCCAAATTTTAATTGCGATTAGTTTGATTGATTACATTGCCACGGTTGTTGTCGTTGTTGTTGTTGTTGTTGTTGTTGTTGCGGTTGTTGTTGTTGTTGTTGTTGCGGTTGTTGTTGTTGTTGCTGCTGCTGCTGTTGTTGTTGTTGTTGCTGCTGTGTTGTTGTTGTTGTTGTTTCTGTTGTTGTTGTTGTTGTTGTTGTTGATGCCATTGGTATTGTTGGTCGGCCGTTGTGGACGATTGTTTGTCCTGTTTTTACTACCATTATCATTATTACTGTTTGTGGATGGCTGAAATGTAACAATTTCATTTGCTGTAATAATTGTATTTGGTTTTCTCATAATGGCCGATAATTGTCGACGTTTACTATTATTCAATTAGAAATATAATATTCATAATAATTAATTTTCCATTACAAACAATACACATACCTTTCTGTATATCCATTCATATAATTAATTTGAATCTCATCAACAATAATGTTTTGTTCTTTTTTCTTTCCAACTGCATTGCCAATTAATTTTTTAATTCCGGATTTTTGTTCAACTTTGTCTTGTAGTTGAGCATCAATTCTTATTATTCGTCCTAATGATTTGAATGATTTATGTAAATAGGTATATTGTTGATTTGGTTCAAATCTATGTTCCATATTAATATTTTCGGCAAAATCGTTTCGTAAAGAACCAGTTAAATTCATTTCCAAACGTCCATTATAGCTATCGAAATTATTGCCTGTTTTTACCTAATAAAAATTCAATTTGTTGAAAATTCACAACAACAACAATAACAATGCCACATTTACCCTGATTTGATAGAAAAAATATGAATATGGCATTTCGTTTCGTGTGTCTACAAAATAGACAATTGGTGATGTCGATTCTCGTGACGGTTTTTGTCTTTGCCAATAATCAAACCATCGTCCAAATGGTTTACAATCATCTGAACCATCCCGACAAATTCCACATTTACCAGCTTCAAAATCCGTATAATTATCACAACGATAAGCATTGGTTTCAAAATTATCAAACATTTGTTCTTCATAAGTCATCAATAAATATGCACGTCTATGTGAACAGGCAATAGCGTCTGATAAACCTTCGGCAAGACCATTTATTAAAACACCCGGTATACCATGTACTGGTTCACAACCTGGTACAAAAAAAATTAAAAAATTAAATTAATTAAAAATTAATTAAATTTACCTGGTTGGTTTTCGCCACCATTTGGTACAAAGCTATAATGACCAACAGGTGTTAATATTCCTAATCCATCCAAAACATTGATGCCTCCATTTGTATGTACCGAGAGAACCAATTGTGCATCATTCAGATTCAGACGATTCTCTACACTTACATCACTGAATGCTGGACCAGCTGGATCAAGACCAATTATTAATCGTGCTTTTGGTTGCCGTAAACGTTTTCCAGTGAAACCGGCAGCTTGTGCACCTAAACTATGGCCAATAATTGTAAAATGATCATTGGTTGTCTGATAAACCTGATTCAATCGATTAATGAATGATGCTACCACAGCGCCAACTACTCGTACATTAGCTGCTGCTTGTAAATAATTTGGAGATGTTTTTGATCCACGACTCCAATCGACTATGATTATATTTAAATCACAAGATTTCATCGACAAAACATGATCTTTTAGATTGCCCATCCAATTGAATTGATTATAAAAATCCGTATAACCATGTATTATGACAATTGTACGATTTCTTGGTTCATAGTTCATGTTTCTTATTTCATTTTCAATAACATCATATCTCAACACTGTTGGATTATATCTATCTTGGCAGGAAAATAAATTAAAAGTTACATTCTGTTTTTCCGGTGATTCAGGATAATGTCCAATCTGATTTTTTGATGGCCAATCTTTATGAATTTCAGATTTATTAAAACAACCATATTCACCAAAACAGACTGGCCCTTAAAAAAAAAATTCAGTCAGATTAATAATGAATGACAAAAGTTCAAATTCAAACATTTCAAAACATTACCTGTATCTTCTGGTATTGTTGAACACACATGGATGATTAAAATAAAAAGGACAAAGGTTAATAAGCTCATATTTTGTAACATTTTCATTTTCATAATGTTTTAAAATGTCACATGTATACAATTAAAATCTTAATGTCGTTGAATGTTGAAGAGAGAGAAAAAAATAGCTTTGATTTGTTCGTTCTTATGCCAAGGTCGTCAACAGTCCACAACATTAGACAATTTTATATTTATATATTGACAATTTTATTATTGAATTTCATTTTTTTTATCGCTCTTTCTGTGGTGAAAGTGCATTCTTTTTTTTGGCAAAATCAATTGCCTTGATCAATCAATGATGATAAATATTTGTGAATTTGTCATGATCAGTTGATAAGAAATTAATAATAACTTTCTGAATGAAATGTTTAGTATTTCTGAGAACGAAATTTTTGCAAATACTTGAATAAAACAAAACAAAACAAAAAAAAAATTCAAAAGAAAAATTTTAATTTATCAAATCATTATACATACAGTCAACCAATTAATCAATCAATCAAAAAGTAAAAAAGATATATGAGGAACCAAACAAAAAAAAAATCAATATAGTTGATGATAATATAGTCAATTTTCATAATTTTCATTTCGATAAAATTTTTCCTGATATTTTTCAATTTGTGTTACACGTTCACGGCGATTAATTAACGGATTAAATTTGATAATTAATAATAATAATGCCATTACATGATAGAATATGACCAAAACGATCAACATTATTATGGCCATAAAAAATGTTTCTTTTGTATTCGGTATCATCAATAATTCCAATATTGATTGTATCTCATATGGTTGACAACGTTCGCCACCAAAAACAAGATAAAAATTTGCATTATTCAAATAATGTATTGGTGAAAATGTAGCCAAAATTTTCGTTATTAATGGCATTCGTATGACTGGATTGAAAAAATTCGATGTCATTACAAAAATAGCGATGCAAAAGAATAGACAAATCATCAGTGGAATGAAAAGACCATTGGTTAATAGTACAACAATATGACTAATTGCATGGAATATATTGCCACCTAAAAATAATACGAAAACTTTCCAAAAATAAGATCCGTTTGGTGAATTATCGGCATTGAGATCAATAATGTAAATGTACATCATCATAATCGGAATCAATGGTATGGTTTCGAAAATGAATTTCATTGCATAGAAAGCACCACTACTATACCAGCCTAAAAAAAATGGATAAATTCAATTCAATTAAGAATGTATGGATAAAAAAAGAAAAAAATGAATGAATGAATGAATAAACGTAAATCCGATCAAAGTTATTATAATCTCATAGTTTGGCCATTTTTTGATCATTGATTTGAGCCAATATTCATCAAACACATAAAGACATAATAAATAAATAAACATACCATTACGATGTTCGCTGGCAAAGTACTTTAATTCATTTCCGAATGCAAACATTGATTGCATCGATATAACAAAACCAATTACAGCCACAGGGATTAATATGAAATTGATATTGTTGACTATCTGGATCTCTTCTAATATTTTGGCATCGGATTTATTCGTACAGTATGATTGAAAATCGTCTTCAATATTTATACAACCATTTGGTTCAGCAATGGATTTGTCAAAAACATTTACTGTTAATATTCCGGTCATAAAATATACGAATAAAAATGTAAGCCATTCTTTCCATTGATGTCGAATTGTATACATGCAATAACGTTGACATAATATGGCAATTGATAGTAATGAAAATCTTGTACGATTATATTGTACACCTTCTGGAATAGCAACAGTATCGATTAGTAATTCTTTATCCGTTTGTTTGATTTGTTTTTCAGTTTGTATCACTAATCGTTGTACAATTGGATTCATATAACCAGTACAAGAATATTTGATCAATGTTTCAATCGGAAAACGTGTATAAAATGATGAATCGGGTATATCTTCTAGATAATTTTTGATTTGATTTGGTGGCCCAGAAAATATACAAACACCATCACAAGCAAGAACATAACATTGATCAAACATCATTAATTGATCGGTATTTGGCTGATGTATACTGGCAACGATTGCAATATCTTGATGTCGATAAACAAATTGTTTAAGACATTCAATGACTAGATGAGCTGAATTGGAATCCAAACCACTAGTCGGTTCATCGATACAGATTAAATTTGGCATTCGTAATGATGTTAATTCTAATGCAAGAGCAATACGTTTTCGTTGACCACCTGAACAATTCTGCACTAATGTAGTGGCTGCATCGGTCATGTTCAATTCTTTCAATAGATTCCAAGCAAGTTTTTCATGATCAATTTTTTGTTCTTCATGACAATTTTTTAATTTTGAAGCATAAATCAGACTTTGCATTGTAGTAAGTCCAGGCATTAAATGATTTGATATTTCTTGCGATACAAAACATGTACGTAATTGTTGAAATTTACTAAGATAGAACATTGTTGATTTTGGTATGCGGATTTTTTTACGGCCATTCAACACTTTCAATAATGTTGTTTTACCGGAACCAGATGGTCCCATTAATGCATTTAAGCTGCCAAAATGAATCTGTCCATTAAGATTTCGCAATATTAATCGTTCCGAAGACAATTGTGAATGTAATGATTTTGGATGTTCACGAATTTCATAGATAGAATTGGATTCAAATAGGCTTAAATTTCTCCAACCAATTATATAACGTTGATTATAAAAGCTATTCTGCTGTTTTTCGGGACATTCAGATTTGAAAACAAAATTATCATTTACATTGTTGATCGGATTAATTTCAATGCTTGTTGAATAATTATAATCGATTGCAATAAATTTCGATGAAAATGTAGATGTATTTTTACCGTTCTTCAATTGAATGCTGTTTGTTGGGAATCGATATTTATAATACATAACAATATAAGTGATGAAACGTGATATGATGCAATTAATAACCGATGGTAATAGATTCCAGTAAATCAAATCTGGATTGATAAACAATTTTTTCAATTGTAACGATTCTTCACTGTAAATATCACAACGATCAATACCATAGAATGTATAATAAAGACCATGAATGATTGATCGATATCCAAACATTTGAGCAATGACCAATAAAAATGGCCGATTCATTATTTCCAATGATGAATATAAACCACTGAGCATAGTTATTATGACGAATAAAATTGTCAATGCTGTAGCCATTAATTGGACATTCTTTGCATATATAACACCCCATACTTGTGCATATGATTGCATTAATACTGTCAATAACCATACGAATAGAATTTGATGTGCAAATCGATTCCAGTTAATCATATAGTTATCCAGTATATAATATTCCGATAGTACATAGCCAATAAATGCTTGATTGAATGCAAAAAAGGTCAATTCAATCAAATGAATAATTTGGAATGCCCAGAAAAAAGTACCCAAACTATACCATCCTATTAAAGTGATGAAATTACCTTTTAATAAATATTTCAGAAACAATACAATACTTACCATTTTTATGTTCATTACAGAATACTGAACTCAATTCAACGACCAATATGGAACTTAGACCAATCGAAACTAATGTCGTTGTAATGGCCATTGCTAGCTGATAAATCATAAATGATCCATCAATCAGTGATTCTTTTAATTTTTCATTACAAGTATGATTAAATTGTTCCATCGAAACAATGTGACATCCACGTGATTTGATCATATCTTCATAGCTGGTATAACAGACAAAACCAACACAGATTCCTTGTAGTAATAAATAACAAAGAAAATATCGAATATCGGCAACAAAAATTAATCGAAATAATCGTTGTAATTGTATAAGTAGATCGTCGAAAAAAATAATTTCGGATAACGTGCAATTCCATTTGGATTCCATTCATAGTTTTGATCATTGAAATTTTCTTCCAATTTAAAGCGACTAGCTTCTTCTTGTAGAGTATTGTCAGCTAAATAACGTACCAATTGGTCATCAATACCTTTGAAAAAATATTTATTTATTTTTATTTTGGATATTATTAAATTGAAAAAAAAACTTACCATTATTTGCAATCCTTAAATATTCTTCGATTGGAGAGCGATCATCAGCTATTCGATGTTGTTGTACACATTCTAAACGGAATGACATTTCAGCTGGTGGACCAGAGAAGATACAAACGCCACCTTTGGCCAATATATAAAGATTATCAAATAGACTTAAGATTTCTGAACTAGGAGCATGTATCGAAACAATGATAGTTATTGGATTATGATTGGCCAATTTTCGAAGGCATCCCATAACAACCAAAGCAGCTTCACTATCTAAACCGGTAGTTGGTTCATCCACAAATAAAAACGGCGGTTTTGATTCATAAGCCATTAGTTCTTGTGCAATGGCTACACGACGTTGTTGGCCACCCGAACATTGAATGAAAGGTGTACGTAATACTTTTGGATCGAGCATCAATTCTTCGATAGTTGATTCGATATGAGCTTTAGCTTTATGACGATTTTCATATAGATTTTTAAAACGAAATGAATAATAAAGAATTTCTTCAACCGTAAACCGGCCAAATATGATTTCATGAACAGATTGAGGAACAAAACTAACTAATGGTACACGGCTATTTCCTGGTATAATCATTCTATTTAAATAGATTCCACAATCTGAGGAAATGTTTTGAGTGGATACATTTCCAGTAAGACATTTAATCAATGATGTTTTGCCCGCACCAGATGGACCAAGTAAAGCATTCATACTATGATGACGAACAAAACCATTCAAACGTCTTAAGATGACTTTACGTTGTTTAATTGGTAGCCAACTGCGATCATTTTCAAAATTCCATTCATCAACATCATATTGAAGATTTTTCCACAATAATGATACCGGTTGATGAATCGATCTGAATGATGAATGTTGTATTTGATTATCATTTTGTTGTCGATGATCATCATCATCTAGACCATTGGCCATTATTTTATAAAATAAAATATGATTTAAACACACAATATATTTTCAGCACAACAAGCAATGATGAATAAGCAGATTTTTTTTTTTTAGAAGAAAACCACCAACAATTTGACAACCTTTTTATATTTCTGTTCATCCATTTTTATAATACCATCGAACTTTTTTTTTCTATCTATTTTCACAGCATTTGTTTGTTTGTTTCTTTGTTGTTATTATTGGGTATTTCAATTTTTAATTATCCATGCATGCATATCTTTGACACTGTTGTACATGTGTATGTGTGTGTGTGTGTATGTTTATGTGTTGTTTTTGTTGTTTACCATCATTAATAGCACTTAAGCAAGGTTAATGGTTGGTATCATGTCGTTTCATATTTCGTTTATCGTTATTTTGTATATCCATGGAATGTATCATCTCCCTTTCTTTAATTAAACTCCGCCTTAAATCGGAAATAAATGTTTATTTATTTATTTTTTTGCCAGTTCGACTGTATTTTATATAGATATTATCATTCTCAAACCCTTGTACTTTCTATTTCTGTTCGGCAAAAATCTTGATGGCATGATAATCAGGTTTTTTTTTTTTTGGTTTTCCTATTCAAATTCACTTTTACTGTATTTGAATGTTTATGATGAAGAGAATTCTTAGAAAAAAAAACGATTGATCCTACCAAACCGATTACTCCTTATTAACCACCTAGTGTGTGTGTTCAAAATAGTATTCCAAATGAAAAAAAAATTCTATCAAAAACTAAGTTATTGTCCTTTTTTCAAGAGAAAAAAAAATTTATTCGACAAACCTAATCATCATGACAAAAATCATGTTATCATGAGAAAAACATGTTTATTTTTCACATGTTGTTGTTGTTGTTGTTTTGTTATTTACTTATTTTTTTTATTTTTTATTTATTCTTTTTTTTTTTTGTTCATCCAAAAGCAATAAGTACAAAATGTTTTACGTCCATCCATTAATGATTATGATAATGTGAAATCAAATCGATTAATCGAAATTAAATTTAAAGAAAAATAACTATGAAATCATCTGTGAAATCCAAAACGTATTGATGACGTATAAATTATCCTTCAATCAGTCATTTTAGTTAAATCAATAATAACGAAATTATCAAGAATGAACAACAAGAAGTGCAATTTAATACTTAAGAAATATACATGATGAAATCAATAAAAAATAAATGTTTACGAATTCATCAGTATTATTTCAATGAGATAAGCAACAGTTAACTATAGTTGTTTGTGTTAAGTATTTTGAAATAATAATGCTCATCATCATATAATTTAATTAAATTAAACAGGATAGGAAGAGATTTAAACAATATCGAAAGAAAAAATCAAAAACAATGTTCGTGAGAATGTACGATTATTTGTTGTCAAAAAAATCAATTGATGTTGGATAATGAAAACAACATATCCGACAAAAATACAATATAAACACGAAACAACTAGTATCGAAACCAAATGCAAAGCGAAAGAAGAAGAAATAAAATCAAAGAGAAGGGAACCTGTTTGAAAATGAATAGGGGCTAATCGATACGACCAGTTCTAAAGTACGAAATGGCTACTACTTAGAGCAATTTGAATAAATTTGAATTAATAGGTACATTGAAAAAAAAAGAAAGTGTGAATGATTTGGTGGCAATCTCTTCAACAGTTCTTTTTGATTATTGCTTATTTTATTCATTTCTTGATTATGAATGTATTCAATGGAAATGAGCGATTCAAATGGCTATAACCAATTCATGAACATGAATTTTAACGAATAAAATCCTATTCAAAAATCTATTAGTTAAATTTTTCAATTTTAACCAATCATTGTGCTTTGGTGGTGATTATTCTCGATCATCATCCCACATAGGTTTCATTTATGATTAGTTTGATTTATTGAGTTGGATGATCTGGATCCGGTAAAATGTGTGATATCTTTGCCTGTTATTTCCACAGGTCCATTGCGGCTTTTCAGCACTGATGATAGGGAACGGCGTTTACTATTGATTTTTTTTCATTTTAAAATTAAAAAAAAATAAATTCTTATTACAAATTAATCAATAAAGCAAACCTTTCAGTATAGCCATTCATATAGTTAAATTGAATCTCTTCGACAATAATTCGACTATTAGTTGAACTAGAGAGACCACTGTTTATACCTGGAATCGCGGTAATAGCTTTATCAATACTAACTGCAACCACATTCGGTAACACCTTATTTGTCAATGTTGCTTCTACTGATTCAATGCGACCAAGTGATTTTTTGGATTTATGTAAATAGGTATATTCTTTGTTTGGTTCAAATTTTCTATCCATTAGAATATTTTCGCTGAAATCGTTTCGCAGACTGCCAGTAATGTTCATGGATAATCGACCATCAAAAGTAGGAAAGGAATTTCCGGTACGAAGCTTTTTTTAAAAAATGAATAATTAATTCAACACCAAGGATAATCTAAATATTAAAACTATACCTTGATCTGATAGAAAAAATATGATAAAGGTTGGTCTTTCTGTGTATCAATATAATAGATGATCGGTTCTCGCCATTCTTTTGATAATTTTTGTTTTTGCCACCAATCAAACCATCTACCAAAGGGTTTACAATCATCTGAACCATCACGACAGGTACCACAGCGGCCAGCTTCAAATGCTTCATAGTTTTTGCATCGATAACCCATTGATTCGAAATCATCATCTTTCAATTCATCATATTTCATTAATTTATAAGTGACAAATAGATGCGAGCAAGCTACTGTTTCTTGTCCTCCTTCATATACTCCTTTTGTCAATGGTGCCGCAATTCCGGAAACGGAATCGCAACCGGGCTGTGTTTCACCCCCATTGGGAAAAAAATTATAGTGACCAGACGGGGTGAGTGTGCCTAAGCCATCGAGTAAGTTCTTACCACCATTTGTATGGATGGATACAACTAATTTTGCATCATTCGGAACTAGACGACCGTCTTCGCTAACATCATTGAATGCTGGACCAGCAGGATCAAGACCAAGTATCAATCGTACTTTCGGATTACGTAAACGTTTGCCAGCAAAACCACTAATTTGTCCTCCTAAACTATGTCCCATAATTGTATAATGATCATTGTTTGTATTGTAAACGTTGTTCATTTTTTCAATAAATTTTGCAATTATAGCACCAACCAATCTGGTATTGGATGATGACTGTAAATAGTTCACATGAATTGAACCACCACGCCAATCGACAGCTATAACATTCAATGAACATGGTTGTGCTCGTAGAATAAGATCTTTTAAATCGCCCATCCACTTGAATTGAGTATAATAATCTACGTAACCATGTATAATAAATATTGTACGTTTTTTCGGATCATAGTTGATATTACGCAAATCTCTTTCAGTCACGTTATATGGTAAAATAGTTGGATTATAACGATCACGACAGGAGAATACATGGAATTTCGTATCAATATTTTCGGGAGAATCAGGATAATGACCAAATACATTTGCCGTTTGAATGTCGTTGCTCAATTGAGCTTTTTTAAAACAACCAAATTCACCATAACAAACTTCATCTATGATTTGAATTTTCAAAAAAAAAAATGTAACTTAACATTGTATACAATTGATGATGATTTTTAAATAAAAAAATTATACCTTTATTTTGACCATTGCATTCAATATATGTTATGGAAATAATGAAGATTATAGATGAAATACAAATGAATGATTTATACATTTTTAATCCAATTCGTTAACTATATATTCAAATTGTTCAGGTGGTAAACAATAAAACGAAAAAATAAACGCTAAAATAGAAAGAAAAAAAAAAGATGAAATTAAAATTCATGTTCACACACAAACAAGTGTTTATATAATAATTTTATATAAATCAATCATCAATAATCAATAATGATTGATTTATGATCATTGATGTTGAAATGATTTTACCATTGATTTTTAAATTTAGTACAATTATCAAAAAAAAAAAATTAGAATTTCAAAACACATAAACAGACAGAAAAAAAAATTGATTGAATAAAAAAATCATTCGATTCGAATTAATAGACACACATAGATACACAAAATGTATGTAACAACCACTACGTTAAAAATATCGATGGCATTCAATGATGACTGATTATAAAATTTAAAAAAAAAAATTTTGGTATTTTTTTTCCGATTGGACTTTGAATTTACTCATAAACCTGAATAAAATTGTCTATAAATCTTTGTTTCAGTTCACTAGCACGTATATATGGGCAATCCATGTGATTATCAATGTCTGTCAATAGAATTTTTGTTGATTAATTTTTTTTTTCAAATTTTCATTCAATATAATCAATGATTAGTAGGAAAAAAATAACCAATCATTACCATCATCATCATTATCATTATGATGGTAAAAAAAACATGATAATTATAAATTATTTGATTTGATTGATAAATAATAAACTTTGTGATTGGCCTTGAATTTTTTTTTTGTCAAACATATGACCAAAAAAAACAACAACAACAACAACCAAATTCTTTTTATCTTTTGGCATGTGTCATTTTTGTGAGAATATGTTATTCAAAAAAAATTTTTTTGTAAAAACATTTAAGAATAATATATAAATCTTCTTAACCTCAACATACAGAAATAATCAATTCAACAAGATTTGTATTGCAAAATCACTTGAATAGCGTGATGGTTTTTGTTTCTTCCCATATCGCCGCCAGTATTTCATACAAATTTCATTTGAAATTTCATTTTTTTTCTCTTGTGTACAATGAAATAATTATGAAAACAAACAAACAAACAAACAAAAACGATAAACACTTGTTGCTTGTAAAAAAAATGGAATAATTCCAATGGAATATTGGCCCCTCTCTCTCTCTTTTTTTATCGGTTATGAATACAATATATCCGAGGGCATTGTATGTGAGATATTATAAAATCACTAATATCACATGTCCTTGTGCTATGTTGAGAGGCGAAAAAAAATGAAAAAAAAATTCGAACAAAGCTTTATGACGATTTTTATGTAGATTTTTTTTTTAAATGAAATTCATAATAATTTCTTCCATAGTAAATTGGCCAAATATAATTTCACATAAACATCATGAAATGCTGGACCAGTTGGATCAAAACCAAATGTTAATCATGCATCAACCAATCTGGTATTAGATGATGACAATCAAAATAATTTGAATTGAGTGATACATTAAAAAAAGGTGTGAATAATTTAGTGACAATCTCTTGGACAGTTTTTTTTGATTATCACTTTTATTCATTTCTTGATTATGAATGGATTCAATAAAAATGAACGATTAAAATGGCTATATCCAATTCGTGAACATAAATTTTAACGAATAAAATCTTAGACTTTTTTCTAAATTACTTGAAAAATCCTATTCAAAAATCTATTAATTAAGTTTTTCAATTTTAACCAAACATTGTGCTTCGAGGGTGATTATCTTCGATCATCATCCCACATGTGTTTCATTTATGATTAGTTTAATTTCTATATTGTTAGATGATTTAAATTTGTGGAAATGTGTGACATCTTTGTTTGTTACTTGCACGGGTCCATTTCGGCTTCTCAACACTGATGACAGTGAACGGCGTTTACTATTGATTTTTTTCATTTTAAAATTAAAAAAAAATAAATTCTTATTACCAATCAAATAAATAAATAAAACAAACCTTTCAGAATAGCTATTCAAGTAGTTGAATTGAATCTCTTCGACAACAATTTGACTTTTGATTAAACTGGGGAGATCAGCACTGGTCACTTCACTATTTACCTCAGGAATCGCGGTGATAGCTTTATCCATACTAACTGCAATCACCTTCGGTAACACCTTATTTGTCAATGTTGCATCTGCGGATTCGATACGACCAAGCGATTTTCTAGATTTATATAAATAGGTGTATTCTTTGTTTGGTTCAAATTTTCTATCCATTAGAATATTTTCGCTGAAATCGTTTCGTAGACTACCAGTAATGTTCATGGATAATCGACCATCAAAAGTAGGGAAGGAACTTCCGGTTCGAAGCTTATTTTTAAAAATTAATAATTAATCCAACACCAAGGATAATCTAAATATTGAAACTATACCTTGATCTGATAGAAAAAATATGATAAAGGTTGGTCTTTCTGCGTATCAATATAATAGATGATCGGTTCTCGCCATTCTTTTGATAATTTTTGTGTTTGCCACCAATCAAACCATCTACCAAAGGGTTTACAATCATCTGAACCTTCACGACAATTGCCACACTGACCAGCTTCAAATGCTTCATAGTTTTTGCAGCGATAACCCATTGATTCGAAATCATCATCTTTCGATTCATCATATTTCATCAACTTATAAACGACGAATAGATGCGAGCAAGCTACTGTCATTTGAAATCCTTCATATGCACCTTTTGTCAATGGTGCAGCAATTCCGGAAACGAAATCGCAACCAGGCTGTGTTTCACCCCCATTGGGAAAAAAATTATAGTGACCAGACGGGTTGAGTGTACCTATGCCATCGAGGGCGTTCTTACCACCATTTGTATGGATAGATACAACTAATTTTGCATCATCCGGAACTAGACGACCGTCTTCGTTAACATCATTGAATGCTGGACCAGCTGGATCAAGACCAAGTATCAATCGTGCTTTTGGATTACGTAAATGTTTGCCAGTAAAACCACTAATTTGTCCTCCTAAACTATGTCCCATAATTGTATAATGATCATTGTCTGTCTTGTAAACATTGTTCATTTTTTCAATAAATTTTGCAATCATAGCACCAACCAATCTGGTATTGGATGATGACTGTAAATAGTCGATATGCATTGAACCACCACGCCAATCGACAGCTATAACATTCAATGAACATGGCTTTGCTTGTAGAATAAGATCTTTTAAATCTCCCATCCACTTGAATTGAGTATAATAATCAACATAACCATGTATTATAAATATTGTGCGTTTTTTTGGATCATAGTTCAAATTATGAAAATCTTTTTCAGTTACGTTATATGGTAAAATAGTTGGATTATAACGATCATGACAGGAAAATACATGGAATTTTGCATTAATTTTTTCGGGAGTATCAGGATAGTGACCAAATACATTTTCCGCTTTAATGTCCATGCTCAATTGAGCTTTTTTAAAACAACCAAATTCACCATAACAAACTTCATCTATGATTTGAATTTTCAAAAAAAAATGGAATTTAACATCGTATACAATTACTGATGATTTTTAAATAAAAAAAATTATACCTTTATTTTGACCATTGCATTCAATATATGTTATGGAAATAATGAAGATTACAGATGAAATACAAATGAATGATTTATACATTTTTAATCCAATTCGTTAACTATAGTACAATTATTATATAACAACAAAAAAAAATTGGATGAATAAAAAAAATCAATCGATTCGAATAATAAATTTATTATAATAGACACATACACAATGTATGTAACAACAGCTGCAGAATTTCAAAACAATAACATTAAAAAAATTCATCATCATAAAAACATTACCGAAATATGAACATTAACATGGAATATGTAAATGAATATTGAATATTTTGAAGCTTCAAGATGGTAATTTGCAGATTGTGAAAACAATTTAAATTTTCTTTTTGAATTTATTTCAATTCTTCTAGGAGTGCAAAGTTTTTTTTTGTCAATAGTGAAGAAACAGAAAATTTTTTGTGAAAAATCTTTTTCAGATTTGCTGTATTTATATAGATTTCAATGAAATCAGTATCCATTATGTATAAGTAGACCTACAACCTAACCACTAATTGTCAAGCTACCACCGAAAAAAACCGTTTCAAATTTTAAGTTAATCAACAGAAATGGATTTGAATCGCTTCATCTGGATAATTCGACAAATTCCTAGTCGCCATAATAACAAAAATGTGAACTGACATCCAAGTATTTTTATGCTTTGATCGATGACAATCGTAAATCCACTTCTGAAAGAATTAAAACAATTTATTATTATTATGGATCTATGCAACCATATCAGCTTGAAAACATACAAACGACAACCGGATAGCTCAATCAAATTAATGGAGCTTGAAATTGTTTAAAAATGGAACACAGTGTTTGAAAAAAAATCAAATCTCAAAACAAAACAATCCAAATCAAAAAAAAAAAAATGATTGATATCCTGAAAAATAAATTGAGTGATTACCCATCCCGTTGATGTGCGAATGTCATCAGCAAAAAAAAAAAAATAAAATCCATAAAATCATCAACGAATGAAAAGCTGTTGGAAAAAAAATTAGAACAAAGAGGCATTAGAAATATATGAAAATATATTCCTTACGATGAATTTGGTTTGGTCATTGAAATTTGTGTATGCATAAATCAGAGCTCAACACTAGCTATTCGTATTATTAATTTCAATCATTGAATAGAGGAGAGAGAGAGAGAGAGAGAGCGAGAGTAAAAGAATTAATTCTTTTCTTGAAACAATGAACAAAAATTCTAATCATGTGATGCAATCATCAATCGTCATCATCATATGTGTATCGTAATAATAATATAATTCTAGGTTAAGCCTCATACACATCCATGACAAGCAAAAAAAAAGAAAAATTCAATTAAATGAATAAACCCAAAAAAAAAAAATTCGGTACTGATCTGATTTGAATCGTAGTAGTATGGAAATTTTTTTTTTCTGGACCTTGATGACCGAAATCTACATTCAACTATAGATTTGTATATTTATTTGGCAAGCAAATGTACTGAATGAAATCTATCTGATGGAAAATATGTCAACAAACAAATGTGGAAGACATGGATAAAGATAGCACAC